ATCAGCACAAAAAAAGAAAATCTAATTTTCTTTTCTTTTTCTTTAGATTTTAAATGCATTAGAAGCATTTCCTCGGTTCCAAACCCTGAGAGTCATGGAGTATTTATAGTCTTTATCAATGTTTTAAATCTTCTCTTAATCTAATTTTTATTTTTAAGTGTGACAATTGAGCGATGATATTCCCTCATAATTAAAAAAATATTAAACAGAATATAAAACTTTTATAGCTAATATCTTTGTACACACGGATTATCTATCCCCCTGGGACTGGGCTATAGTTTTTATCTGCGGATATAAATCTCGTCTTCCATGTCATGTCCATGTGGGAAATTTAAAAAGCTTTCTTTATATTCTTACGCAAAGATCTTTGTGTAGTTCCAGGGGAATTTATGCCTACAGGATCCTCTTCCGATGATATAGGGAGCTGCGGGTAGGAGGTTTTCTGGGAGCCTGTATGGATCTTCTCATGTCACACTATAAAAGCTGTTGACACTGAGCAGTAGTTTTACATGTTGAAAACGCTTGAAAGAAATGTTTCAGGGAAACCTTTCACAGACCCACAGTTCCCCCTCAGCTTTTCTAAAGAGTGCCTACCTAGCTGCAATCTTGCTTTTCTACCATTGTGTTTACACGGTTAATTTTTTCATGTATTTTATTTTCATTGACTGCCTACTTTCCTTCTTTGGTTAATCGTCACCTGAGGATATTTTTCTATTGGTTTTTAGAGAGAGTGGGAGAGAGGGAGGGAGAGAGAGAGAGAGAAACATCGATGTGAGAGAGACACGTAGATTGGTTGCCTCTCTCATGACCTCAACCGGGGCCAGGGTTCAAATCTGGAACCTAGGTTCATGCCCTTGACTGGGAATCAAACCCAAGACCCTTGGGTCTGCAGGCTGATGCTCTAACTGTGGAGCCAAACCGGCCAGGGCTGACCACCTACTTCCTTACAGTGACTTAGAACAAATCATGAGTGAGAGTCCAAATAAGATGCATTGGCAACATTGGAAAACATTTCTTTTTTTAAAAAAAATATGTTTTTATTCATTTTTTTAAGAGAGAAACGAAGTGGGGGGGGGAGAGAGAGAAAGAGAGCGAGAGAAACATCGATATGAGAAACAGGGTCGGCTGCCTCCTGCACGCCCCCTACTGGGGATCAAGCCCACAACCCCAGGCATGTGCTCTGACCTGGAATCAAACTGGGACCTCTCAGTCCATGGGGTGATGCTCAATCCACTGAGCCTCACCGGCCAGGCAAGGAACACATTTTTCTAGTGCCAAAACTGAGATTATATAAAAAGTATCCATTGCGTATTTGGCACCTGTTAGAAAAATCTTGTGAAAACATTTTCTCACTGTTCCTCTTTTTAATTTTTATCTTTGAAAATAAAATTTTTTTGTGTGTGTTTTGTCACATCCAAGGGATTACTTGGAATAATTGCCCCATGATATGGGTCGAGCTGTGGTCCATTGTATGTGTCCCAGGAAGGACGATCCATTCTCGTTTCGAAGTCCCGAGGACTCTCTACCTGTTAGAGAGCAGGAGGTCCTCAGCTCATCTTTCCAGCCCATTTCCTTCTTTCATTCATTCCTTCCTTGTCTGTGAAATTCTCATGACCCAGAGTAAATGAATGGTTTCGAAGCTGTTTCATTTTTATGTAAGTCAGTACATTTCTAAGTTAAATATCACACCTTGTTTCCCCCTATAATAATAACCTGTGTGTTGCAGATGGAAGTCACTCTGTTTAGAAGAATTCTGAGGAGTGGGTGGGGCGAGGGCCGAGGGGGACAGAGCCCATGAATGAATCAACATAGAACTAGTAAAAGGTTCTGATCCCTTGGGAGGAAGGAGAAACATAACAAAACCCCAATGCACTATATTTTATCCGTTATGTCTGCTGAGAAATTAGGGTCAGGACCCAGAAACTTTGCTCCATGTCCGGGTGTTTGTTTCAGCTCAGGTGGGGTGGGCTTCTCCTTTGATCGGTCATTTCCTTTTCTCCTTGCACATTCCAAGCTGCATTAAGATGACAAATTTCACTTACAGGCTCAGGAACAGACATGAAAACCTGAGCTATTGAGCTAGCAGAGTGAGTGCGGAGGAGTCGATTTATTGTGGGGAGAAAGGGAGTGTTTGAAGACCACAGAAGAATTTGAGAGCCCGGCTCTGCGTAGGAACTCACACAGGATGGCCCGACGCTGCCCCCAGCCAGACTCTGCTCTCCAGCCTCATCCCAACTCTCCCGGGTGGAAGAGAAATGTTAAATTAATTAAGGGACTTGGTAAAAAAGCCCATGCACATATCCCGGAATATGTTGCTAGCAGATGAAACTTTATTTGGACATAACCTTCCAGTGAGCTTTGCAGAAATATTTAGGGTGAAAGAAGCAGAATAAAGGTTTTATGTTCCTTTCTGTCTGTGAACTGTGCCGTACATATGTCTCTTCTCCTGTCCTGCCTTTGGAGGGGGGCGGGGGGGGGATCTTGCACAGCCAAGAGCAAGTCTGTCACATCAAACATGACTGCGTTAAATACTAAAATGTTCAAAGTCCAACTGAGATAGATAAAGGCTTTGATGGAAAGTGGATATTTCCCAGGGACATTGCAAGCAATAATCCAGATGTTATGGTGTAATGCAGCGAGTGTCCATGGATAGATCAGGAGCTCCAGCCAAGCCGCGCCTGACGGAGGCCCTAGCGTTGCCCTCCCATGCTGGGCCGCCATATGGAACCTATCTCTAGGCCCCCTTAATAACCAGCTTTGGATCCCATTTTCACAGAGCTCATAGAGCTAAGTGGGGCTGTTTTATGGACAAGTTAGATAGAAGCCCTTCCAAGATAAACATCCAATTTGAAATTAGGACATACCAAGCCACAGAATTATTTTAGGGCATATTTCATAGAAGCACGGCCATTTTTCTTAAGCAATTGCCAGACTGTAGGATGCCCTTTGATCTCTTGTGGACATTACTCCCTTCTTTATAAAAAGGATTTTGAAATAGTTGCAGTGTTTAGGGAGGAATATGTCTGTCGGAGCTTTGAAGCATGGCTATGGGACAGGTCATGCATTAGCTTGTTGGTTGGCAAGTCAAACTCTAAGAAGAAAAAAACAACAAAAAAGGAAATTGCAGGAGGATAATGTGAATCAAAATCTCATTTTCTTTTTAAAGGTGGAAGTTTTTAGCCTGTGCGCTTAATATGCCATAAAATGTTGTGTATCTACATCTGAATGTGCACATAGAGATAGATAAACACATATCTACTTATGTATATGGTCTGTCTATCTATATATTGCAATGGTGTGTGTTGTTCTTAACAAACAGAAAATGACTGAACTTCATTTTATAAACTTTCATTATGGAGTATATTCGATCCACAACCCGATGACAAATAGAAGTTGCAAAAGAATGTTTATATTTTCCAGAGGAGAGGGTTTTTTTCTTCTTCTTCTTTTTAAAATTAATTCTTTTCTTGTCTGCCCTCTCTTCTTTGTCTGGGCACCTCCAAAAGCCGTGTGTGTGCGCGCGTGCGCGCATTTTAGGAGAAAAGTAGCGTGGATATGAAGTTGGGGAGTATAGATTGCTTTCAATGTCTAGGTTATAAAATGATCAGCCGCATAGTTGGTGTGACACCCTTGCACCGTTCGCTCCGAGTGGCGGAGTGACGTATGTTGGATGAGGTAAGCCGGTACATAATTAATACGGCACTGACACACCATTTGTTGTGATAAATTGTGACTAACCGGTGTCCGAGCAAATTGGTGTCTAAACGATCTTGAAGATATATTGGGCAGATGACAGCAAGAATATATAGTGTTAGAAATTCATTGCTTTACTATGATACTTGGCGCCATTTACATTCTTCAGTCCATTTATTTCTCCTTCAAATAAAGCGGTCTATGCTCGTGCCATTTCATTTATTGAACGGAGAACATAAATGAACTCCGCCAACCAAATGCAGTGTGTGGATGGCGCTGGGACCCTCACTCGAACAAACTAACCATAAAAAGACGTGTGGAGACCGTCAGGGAGATGTAAACATGTTCTGGGCGTTTAATGATATTAAGGGAGTTAGGATGACTTTTGTCGAGTATGATCATGGCATGGTGCTTATGTAAAAAACAAACATGGACGTTGCTGTCCAATACTTCAGCCAGAAGAAAATAGTGAAGGGGTAGATTAAGTAAGACTGGCCAAGTTTTGAATCTGGTGACTAAGTTCGTGGAGATCTCCTATACTGTTCTGCCTTTGCATTTGTTTGAAAAATTTGCATCATGGAAATTAAAAATAAAGTGTGCGTGTCCTCTTGATAATGGGTGATGTTTGCCGTTTTCTATATTCGGTTCAAGGTGCGTGTGAGTGGGCGTGAGTAGCATAATTAAGAAAATAAAAAAATATAAGTTGCTAGTTACTGGCCCCTACTGGGTCCCAGGCACTGTGCACAGTACTTTATACATCATCTCCTTCCCCTGATCTGCAAAGCTCATCTGGCTGGCTGATCACAGACTTTGTTTTAAGTTGTGAATTTCTCCATGGCCCGAGTATTTTAGTAGCCCAAGGAATAAAGGGGAGTGGGGACAGATTCAGTGTGGAGGATAAATTCAAACCACTGTTTCTGAATGCCCAGAGGTCTTCTGTTTCCCTGCAAAGCAATGCCTTGTTCGTATATGTCTGTTTCCCAGAATGCCTTCCTTCCCTTCCTATTATTAAAATAGCCAAGGGCCCAGGTGAAGGATTCCTACCCAAGAGCTGGCTGGGAGGACAGGCCAGTGTAAAACCAAGCGTTGCTCGTATTCATCTTCCCGATATTGCTACAAGTTTAGTGCTGGAGAAGGGAGTCCCATGATGTGATCGCAGATCCCCACAGCCAATGAAGAGTAATAGCATTCTCAGGCAGGGAGTGCTCTCTGTAATCAAATATTGAATGCTGAAATGCCTGTGATCACCAAAGGCTTACACAAGCATGATCAGCAAGCTGACCTTTCATCTTTATTTTTTATTTCAGTCCTCTCTGATACGAAACCTACGGCTCTCAGAGGCCTTGAAAAAGAACCAACTCTGGAACGGGATTTTAAGTATCACTTTGTTGGAAGGGAAGAATGTCTCAGTGGGGAACATGACAGAGATGTTCGTCCTGTTAAAACTGGGAGACCAGAGGTGTAAAAGTAAGGTAAGTTGTCAATTCCTTAAGGAGAAGAATATCTTTAAAATTAAAAAAAAAATTTTGCAAAAAAAAAAAAAAAAAAATGTTTTCCCACTCTGCGTTTCACAAGAATAGAAATAATTTATTTTTAACCCTCTTAACTGTGAAAGGATTATTCCAGAAAATAAAATAATTATATAACTGCAGTCAATTAATAGGGGTATTCGATTGCTGAGTATAGTTTATTTTCCAGTAACTAGAGCTACAGAAAACTTACTAAGTAATAGATTTGAATGCACAATGTATTTTGTTTTGGAAGTAAGCAAACTGTGTTTCATAGAATGCCGGGAAAAGGATAACTTAAATGATTTCAAAATCTAACAAACAAAAATAAAATAGTAATATGTATTATATTTGAGTTATAATATTTGTGATAACTAAAAATATTGTCAAAATTATATACAGTTTTCTTTCTCTTGCTTGTTAGTATTTACACCAAAAATAGATTCAAGTGCTGCTGGGTTTTTTGTTTTTTTTTTGCTATGATTAAAAAAAAAAAAAAAACCATCTAAACTTTTAAAAGTGATTTGTTTTGAACAAAAACAATGGCATTTTTAGCTGTCTTCAAAAATCAGTCATCTTAGTCTGTCGATCCAAATTCCTTTTAATTTTCAATCTTACTAATTCAGTGTGGGTTTCTATTTCAAAAACCATCGTCTCCAAACCATGGTAATTAATTAGTTTTACATAACTGTCAGACAGGAATATTTTCTGTGTTTTAAGGATTGAGGGAACTGGGGTACTTGAAAGTGAAGCCACTTGCCAAAAGCCACAGAACAAAAAAAAAAACCAACATCAGTGGAAGATTTTGAAAATAGGGCCGAGGGTGTTTGCAGCTGGGGTTTTCCCGTGTGGAAGACATTAACAGAGGCAGACGAGTTGGAAACTGATTTAGGGAGGCAGGAGGTTGTCTCTGCTTACGATTTTCAGCACAAAATCAAATATTCGGTGTCATTTACACCAGCCCAAGGACTAGACAATGGAAGCTCACGATGACTCGTTTGTAAAAAATGTGGAAAACGGAGGGCGAACTGTGGCAGAAATATGCAGATAATTATTTTCACCAGGCCGTTTCAGGCCGTCCCTCACAGAGGGTGTATCCAGGGTAACCACATCTCTGGCTAATATCCCTTTAGCCAGCCAGGGTCGGGCTAAGGATTTATAGAAAAATTATTCACCACTAGGCACACTTAGCCCTCTGGACTAAGGTGAAGTGTAGAATTAGTTCAATATCTGTTCCATCCCCCCTTGGGGGATATTGCATTTAATTTGTGGTCTAATAGGTTTTTTTTTTTTTCCTTCGTGGTTTCTAAATCCTGTGACCTGATATATTAAGTCCAATGTGAAAAACAGCTTAAATGATGCTGTGTGATGTTGGCTGCAGCTGCCGCCCGCCCCGTGCCCGTGTTCCCGGGCGGTAGAGTTGGCACTAAGATTTCATAGTTGATGCTGTGCCCGTCGCGTCTGGTACTCAGCGGCCAGCGTTTCTGCTCCCTTTTCGGCCGCAAATTGAATCTCTGTGTACGTGAAACAGAAATGCCCACCCGGCCAGGAAATCGAGCGCTTGGGCAGTTTGGAAACCCCCTCAGAGAACACAAAACACTTGTGGAGTTCTCTAACCACGTTGGCTCATTTTTTAATTCGGCCACACTGGAAGTTTCTCCTCTCTCTCACCCCAGGGACTAGAATCCGTAAACTGGGATTTAAATCCAATGTCCAAGGCAGCAATGGACAAGTTACGGGTTTCTCTGGCAAGCCATCTCTGACAGATATTAATCAAGACCCCAGACTGTTAATTTATATAGTTCTTAAGCCAGTGCTGAATGAATGTGCCAATAAAAAGGACTTGATTAAGCAATTAATATATTTTCTGTAAGACTGCACAACTCTAAAACGTCCTTGGAGATATGTCATCTACATGTATATATGTATATAAAAGTTGTGGTTTCTTGTGGGGAGCAGTATTCTTTCTAACTCGGTGGATAAATGATTGCCCCTGGGGGTTGGTTAAAAGTGGGCTGATGTTTTGCCAATTCCCCAAACGTCGAAGTCCCTTTCCTTTTACAAAAAGGAGAGGTTGACTTTGCGAGGGACAGACAGGCACCCCCTCCCCGCCTCCTGCAGGTTAGAAATGAAATGAAATGTGTAGAGCTGTCGCAACGAATGGCATTTTGAAGAAAATAAACGTTGTAACCGCATGTTTTCTAGACACTGTGTAAGAGTGCAAATCCGCAGTGGCGGGAAGAGTTTGATTTTCACTACTTCTCTGACAGGATGGGCATCTTGGACATTGAAGTCTGGGGAAAGGACAGCAAAAAGCACGAGGAGCGTCTGGGCACGTGAGTACCTCTCCTTTCTCAAAGGGTGGGTGTCCCGCGTGGGGCTCTCTGTACGGGCCTGGTCTTTGTCTGCTGGGATTAGAGTCAGACTTCATCTCCCCAACCCAAGGAGCCAGAAGTAAGCTGGACCCTAACCTGGGGAAGGTTTAAAAAAAAAAAAAAATTGGTAATGCCATTTAGTTTTGATTAAAAGAGAAGAAAGTATGTCCTGCCACACTCTCAGCTCATGCAGGAGAATGGTCCAGCTTTTCACAGTATTGTTGGTCAGACGTCTAGTCCGGCCTCATCTCTCCCTCCTCCACCCACACGGGGTAACTGAGACACCTCGGGCACATCTCAGTCCCTCTGACACTTGTCACCGCTGTGACTACCAGTGCCCTGCCAACACCCATCAGTGGGAGAATCACAAACTGTGCTGGCCCATGGAGCAGGGATACACCGTGCCAACGTGCAGACGCAGGGAACTCTGTGTCCCGAGGTTTTATCTGAATGGTGGGGATGTGGACCTCCACTGATGAATGGCCAAGTGTGTTATTTTAGTAGCTTCACATGTCATTGTCCCCATGTGTTTTATCTTTCCACATAATAGGAAATGCTTTTCCCAATGAGTGTCAAGTTTCTTCACAGACACAAACCCTAATTTAAGATGTCCCGTTCATGCCATGCTTTGTCCTTGGGTATTTATTTATTATTTGAGCTATTTCCTGATTGTAACTTAGATGTATACCTGTCCTCGTGGTCACCCTGACCCTTTTCTTCGTGGATTTTAAAGGATTTTATTTTATTTTATTTTGTATCCTTTTCCGCTCCCACAGTACAAGAGATAACAAAAGTATCTCTTGGGAGCTGGTTACTCAGCATTTCCCTGCAGTGAACTTTCAGGAGAGGTGAGACCCACCCTAAAATACATCCTGAGTCTCAGAGCTAAAGGAGAGATGTACTAGCATATGTATGCCACAGGCCTGTTCCTGCCGGATTCTTCTTCTTTTTCACATGTCTCACTCATTTTTTTCCCTCATTTTATTTTCTTTGTTGTGGTGGTTCTAAGACTCAGTTATTTGATCTCTCAAATGTTGGGAACCTCTTCGCTTGAGGAGTCGCTTTGAGCGTGACTGAGTCGCACCGAATCCTGAGGCTGCTCTGTCTTCTTTGGTTTTTGACTAACACCTTGATGCTAGTGATTGAAAGTTTCCCATGGTCTCCCTGAGGAAATTCTTGCCAGTGACGTTTCCCCTTGTAGGCAGTTGGACGTGAAGGAAGGAACACCGGCCTTCGAGTTGGACATCGTGGGCTTGCTGGTTATGACACCGTTTGTAGCGAGGTGACCTTGAGCAAGCAACTCGCCTGTGGAATCTGGTTTCCTATCTGTGTAGCGGGGCCGCTGGCCAATCGAAGGGTCATCATGACAACCAGCGACAACGTTTATTTGCTACTTAGGGCTTTTTGAGCACTGAAATTGTAGATATTATTATTACTATTGACTCTGAGATTTTTCTGTATGGCAACTCCAGTTACAACAATTGCAACTAAGTTAATGCAATTTAAGTACATGAAACATAACTAGTAGCATTCCACATTTTTTTTTTTCTGAAACAGTATAGACATCTTCAACGTTTTCTAGCAGCGAGCAGTGAGTTCTCCAAGGACACAGTGGGAAGGACAATTGTTGACTGAAGGATTGAACAGTGTAGATTGGTCTGAACAACACCAGGTTCTGTAGTTGTGGATAAAACGCTAGCGTCCTGGTTGGTTATGGAACGAGAAGTCACACTGGCATTGGTGGGTTGCTAGCTTGGTGACAGCTAAAACGTGGTCCCTGTCACCCAGCCTCTTCTGGGCTCTCCTGAGTCTCCTGTTGTGCTCTGTGCATCTGCAGGTTCCACGGAGCCATGATAACTCCAGTGGGAGTCATTGCAGGTGACATGAGGTGCTCGGGCAGCTTCCCCTCAAACCATGGTGCCTCGTAATTCCAGATTATTCATAGGCACCTCCCCCCAAAAACACAGTCTTTGATCCGAGAATCCGTCCGTGTTCCAGATACCAGGAAATTTGGGGGGAGTAAGAAATAAAGCTGAATTTAACCTGCTCCAACTTTTAAATGGCAAGAATATGAATGATAGACTCTCCCATTATAAATCGGTACCATTTCAAAATGAGCGATCACTTCGTGAAAGTATATTTTTACATTTTGTGGTGACTCTAGAGATGAACTAGTTGGAGAATCTTCCAGACATCATTTAGCTTGGAAAATGTAGGAATGAGGATGCTCATGCCCGGGCTGCCACAGAGCCTCGACCCTCAGTGCCACAGGGTGACTTGGAGAGGGGCTTGACATTTCTACCAGTTTATCCGTGATTTTGATGCTGTGGGGAATCAGGGCTGGACTATTTCCCTGGACAAACTGCAGCCCAGCCACGCCTGACACATCCACCACTTTCTTCCTGTTCACCCCCTCCCTTCACCTCCGAGATTTACAGCTTTTAAAACTAGCGCGCTCTTTCCTGCCCCTTGCATTTAAGTTAAAAGCTGACCAGTCTGTAATATAAAACATAGAATTATGGTAATGAATAAGAGGTTAAAAGCTATCATGGCCAGGGAAACTGAGCAGGTTGGGCTGACTGATATGGTGAAATTATGTGTTGAATTAAAACATTAAAATGCTGTGGGATTAATGGAGAAAGACATGGTCAGGAGGTCAGAAACAATGCTATATCAGCACATTAGCTGCCTGCTGGGGCCGAAGCAGAGCTGTAAAATACGCCTGTTGCGGGGGAAAGAAAAAAAGTAATTTAGCCTTGTTTTCTTCAGGTGAATAGAACCGTGAGCTTTTCAATTGGGGAGGTGCTTCGTAAATATATGGATGTCCATTCTTTTCTTTTTAATATGTTTTTTATTGATTTTTAAGAGAGAGAGAGAAACATCAGTGTGAAAGAGACATGGATCAGCTGCCTCCTGCACGCCCCCTACTGGGGATTGAGGGTGCAGCCCGGGCGTGTGCCCTGACCAGGAATCGAACCGGGACCTCTCAGTCCATGGGACGATGCTCAATCCACTGAGCCACAATGGCCGGGCTATCCATTTCTTTCTTATGTAGGGAGGAAACAGAGACTGCCAAAGAGTTAGTCAGTTAACAAAAAACACTGCCTTTATAATTTGGGTATTTTGACCTTGAATTTTGTGACGCCACTGGAATTCATTTGTCTGTTCATCTTACGCAACAAATACAGAGTAAGCGTGTGATAACATTATCAGCAATGCTGTATCACATCGTGTATCAGACAACTTGCAAAGCGCCGAGGGTTCAATGGCAACTGATTCGGGCGTGGACCCTTGTCCTCAGGTGCTAGGAAGTTTGGGGCAACACAATTAAGCAGGCAGCGGTTCGGGGTGTAGAAAGAGGGCACTTTCTGGAAGAAAAGAGGTCTAAGCTGAGACCTGTAAGATGAGAGGTCGTTAGCCCAACAAGGAGATTGGAGGAGGAACTTTCCAGAAACACGGGATAGCATGGGCAAAGGCCTAGAGAGGAGGGGCAACGCAGTCTAAGACTCTTGAAAGGAATGAGAAGGGTGGTGGAGACTTAAAGGAGTCTGGAGAGGAGGGTGGGAGTGAGGTCACAAAGCCATCGGGCTGTCTCCTGCAGATGAACCATGCCAGACCCTCTCCAGACACACCCACTGGTGACTCAGCGATTTTCTCTTCCGTCATGTAATGCTGGTCAGCAGGGAGGAGCTATTATTGACTAAATATTCTAAGATCTGCCTTTGGGATGAGACTTTCCTGCTCACGTAGGGGCCAGCGTGTGGCACCTTTCGAATGATTGTCCAAACATGGCCACTCCCCTTGCGCGTGAACTCACACCGATGCCCCGGGAACAGAGCTGATCTGCAAATGCTAATTAATCACGTTCTTACACAGATGCTCTGAGCCCGTGTTTTCCACATGGATCTTCCAGGTAGAAGAGCAATTTCATATGTTTTATTGCCTTCTTATTTTTTATTGACAAACGTATTGTTGGCCAGGATTTCTTGGGCTATGGTGAGTTAAAAGTTATTTACAAAAAATTATTCTTAGGTCAGGATTGCTGATAATGTTATCAATGTCTTTCTTCTTGCAGCAACCAACCTCGTAAATTTTTAAAATACTTCCACAACTAAATTATTAGCGTTTTCCTAGGCCAGGCATCAGCAGATTGGAACCCACGGAACACATCCAGATGGCTGCCTGTTTTGTGAATAAAGTTTTATTAGAAAACAGCAGTTGTTCATTTGTTGACGTTGTTCATTACTGCTTTCATGCTGCAAGGGGAGAGCTGAGTAGTTACAATGACCATGATGCTGACTCATCAATTTAATTTGCTCTTTCAAGCCCCAAAGAAATTAAAGTATTGGGCTGAATTCACTCATTAGTTAACCGAGATTGTCAAATCCATTTAGTTTGTGCTGAAACTCCCAATCTGTTACTTATAGGGCTCTTTGACCTAAAAGAGGCAGGGCTGATTTTTGTAGGTTTTCTTTCTTCATTATATGAATGATCTTTAAAAACCAGATAGATGCAAAAGTTTCCCACTGGATGGAAACAACTGTAGGTTCATGGAAATGTGTAATTTCCAAGGAGAAACTCAGTACTTGCTTTGCATTTTGTCTGGTCCGTGATTTAGCATTTGTTGAACATAATAAACCACTCTGTTCAAGTAAGTTGTGGCTTTAAACTATCACCAAGAGAGTTGGCAGAGTTATTGTAAATATGCTAACATGGCTCAGAGTCTTTTTAGATGACATTTTAGGATTAATGTCACATCCATTTTGAATTATCTAAGAAAATTGTTATTATTGCGTAATTATACATCATTTTGACTCTCACAGATTAGTTGCTGTCCCAGCTCTTGTCTCTAAATAACTTCTGGTAGCTCAAAAAAATAACAAAACCACCACCATAATAAAGTGGTAAGCTTCGAAGGACAAAAATAAATTGTGATTATTAATGATATTAAAATGAATGTGCTATAAATAAGTTGTTGCTAATTTGGACTAATGAGAGTGACCACTAGGGAAAATTCTTGAGTTTGGATCATTTGTTTTTCCATAAGAAAGAGTTTTATTAAATTAAAATGTATATAAACCTGTAAAGGAAAATATATCTGCCAGACGTAACACTGCTTGCTGCATTGGTTATGAATTTGTGTCTTCTTAGTTTTGTAGAAATGGTAGTTAAAGTACTTGAACTTTCTTTCCAAGCAAAATTAATTCTCCACTTACTTACTTGTTTATAAAATAAAAATATTTTTAACCCCCCTTTTCACAGTAGTAAGATTTAACTTTAAATAAGCTCCAGAAAAAATAGTTTTGATTCAAATCATAGAGGGTTATTTTAAAAGACATATCTTTTGTAATGTGTCTTCTGTAGAAATACATGATGAATTTATTAGATGCAAAAGCTAATTGCCACCTCTTCTCATAACCGGAATTACTCATGTTAATTAGAAAATAAACACCCACATATATTTAATTTTATATGTACATGTCAGTATTAAGATATTTTTATTCTCTATTAAAACTGGTATAGACTTTCAGTATTATTGATGTTTTTCTTTTTAATTGGGAAGGGATTGCAAGCTTTCTTTCAAATTAATGAAACTGGAACTGTTTTACATATCCACATGGTTCAAAGTTGTCATTACTTTAGCCCTGGCCGGTTTGGCTCAGCGGTTAGAGCGTCGGCCTGCGGTCCAGAGGACCCGGGTTCGGTTCCTGCTAAGGGCGTGTACCTTGGTTGCAGTTTGTCCCCAGCCTTGGTCGGTCGTGCGGGTGGCAGCCACTCGATGTGTCCCTTTCACATCGATGTTTCTCTCTCTCTCTGTTCCTCTCTCTCCCTCCCACTTTACCTGAACAAAAAATGGAAAAATGTCCTCGGGTGAGGATAAAAAAAAAAAATTGTCATTACTTTATAGTATATTAGGTGAGTTTATAATTTTTAAGTATCTGCAAACATGCAAAGTCCACTGAAAATTTAGGGTAAGAATCCATCCTTGTCACACATTGTGGGGAGAGGCAGGGTTGCTATCCTTCTATCAAGTCTTTAAAATATATATATATATGGTTTTATTGGTTTTAGAGAGAGAGACAGAAACATGGATGTGAGATACATTGATTGGCTGCCTCCCACAACATAGGCATGTGCCCTGACTGGGAATTGAACCAGGACCTCTCAGTCTATGGGACGATGCTCAATCCACTGAGTCACACTGGCCAGGCTAAAGTATTAAATATTCATCTGATTTAATAACTTTGGAGGGCAAGTGAGAATTTCTCCCTCTCCCTCTTCCTCTCCCTCTCTCTCTCTCTCTCCCCTCCCCACCCCCTTTACTCATAAACAAAGCAGGTGTGTTCCAGGCAAACCTAGAGTCTTCAGTGTTAAAGCAAATACCTCTTTAGCACCTCAGCCCCCCTTTTTGATGTTTGCTTCTCTATTTAAATGTGTTTGAGGTTTTCAACATCCCCAGATCATTGACTTAAGAGGCGGAAAACATGTGATTTATAGCAGATGGGGACAGCTTTTCCATCACGCTCCATTTATCCAGAAAGAAACCCACCTGGGGAGACTGTGCAACTCCGCCTATTAGGAGAACACCTTAACACGTTTCTGTAAATACAACCTTGCTAGTTGGCATTAATCTGGAAGAAAATGGTTTTTCCATTAACCCTCTTCCGCTTACATTTCTCTTGTCTTTTGTAATTTTTTCCGACCCCTTTATTCTCTTTGCTGGAAAAAGACACAGTGTAGAGAAGCCACAGAGAGCATGACGCTTAAACTTGGGAACTTTTCCTCTCTCCTGAATTCTTGACTTCATTGCCTCTGTGCAGACCTGATTTGGCAAGGATCTGGCTGGATTTTGTCATTTGCCATTCATTCTTTACCTCTTCTTCTCCTTCATTGTAGAGTGTGTTAGGCTGGGAGTGAGTATTCAAGCCAGACGCACCCCTGCCCGAGAAACCCACGCCCAGCTAGAGTGCGGTTCGGGAGTGATACATAAATACAGGTGCTGTGGAGGTTCCGAGGTAGGCGTGCGATCGTCACTTTGCTTTCTCTGCTTTCTGCTTCCGCAGATGTAAAGTGGACCTCTCGTCACTCCCACTCAAGCAAGCCAACTGCTTGGAGCTGCCCCTGGACAGCTGCGTGGGGGCTCTCCTCATGCTGATCACGCTTACTCCGTGTTCGGGGGTCTCCGTGTCTGATCTGTGTGTGTGCCCCTTGGCGGACCCCAGCGAAAGACAGCAGATTGCCCATCGCTACGTGAGTGCTTTGCCTCATGGCACCCCCCACCCCCACTTCTTCGTTGCACCAAAGTCAATGAACTAAGAAACTGCGTAAAAAAGAGAGACCTTTGTCCAAAGTTGAATGGTATGTCTCATAAAACAAGACATCAGACCTAGAGGTTAATGCATTAGGGAGAAGGTAGAGACACAGGTGAGAGTTTTATCTTCACGCTGTTTTGCAAGACAACAAAGGTATTTTGAATTTGAAGCTTTTAGGAACCTTTTGGTGAAAGTGGAGGTCCTCAAGAAGGCAACTGTTGTTGAGCACGTCTGCATATGTGAACTAAGAATTTTATTTTATTTATTTTTTTATCCTCACCCAAGGACATTTTTCCATTTTTTAAATTCAGACAGAGTGGGAGGGAGAGAGGAAGAGAGAGAGAGAAATATTGAAGTGAAAGGGACACATCGAGTGGCTGCCACCCACACTACACAACCAGGGCTGGGGACAAACTGCAACCAAAGTACGTGCCCTTAGTGGGAACTGAACCTGGGTCTCTCTGGACTGCAGGCCGACGCTCTAACCGCTGAGCCAAACCGGCCAGGGCAAGGAATTTTAATATAAGTTCACACAAGTCGTTATTTTTTGCAGCAACCGTCCATGTTTGCAATGTTCCCGAACCTTCTACATCCAAGTGAGAAAGTGCTGTGTCTTATTAAGCCCAGCCAAGCCCTTGACAGGCGCAGAAGACTGTTGTTCTATCCCACCCAGGATAATATTGGCATTGGAGACTTGTCTAAGTAGTTGCGATGTGCTTAAAAGTCCACTCAGCACTTTTAAATCAAATGGCTTTGTCCTCTTCATTTATTTTTTTAACTCCAGCTTTCTAGGTGTCTTTATTTGCATTCCATTTTTATCTCCTCTTCTTTGTAAATCAATATGCTTGTTGCCACACACGAAACACATGCTTTAGGAAAGTAGCATAAAAATGAAGCAAAGACGAATCTCTATTTAATGGGAATATTACTTTCAGCATAAACTTCAGCGCCTCCCAAGCCCTTCACTGAGCAGGTGTATTGATTAATTGAAAAATTCTTCATCTTCGGGAGAACCGAACCTGTAGCCGCACATCATCTTCCCACAAATTCTCAGTGCAAGGTTGGCATAGTCCAGAGACACTGCGACAGAATCCACTGTTTATATATTTTTTTCTGATGTCTTTAATTAAGCAAATGAAAAGTTGACGGTAAAAAAGAAAACTTTTCCTCCACGTTTTCCCACGGATAAATTGCAACATTTACTCAACTCATGAGGAGTGTCATGTATTTGTAAGGCCTCACTAGGAAAGATCATAATGACTGCTTTAAATAATGCCTCAGGGTCTGCAGAGTACGAGTTGAAAAAGAGATTTGAAAAGATGAATCAAGATAGAAATATCAAGTTCTTTTGAGCTAGCGAGCTAGCCGGCATGTTAGAGGGAGAGCAAGCGTATTACAAGACTCAAGTCTCCGATGCCTGGATTTGGTTTTTAGGTTGTAAAAATAGACACTCTTCAAAGGCATTTCCACCTCTACATGGAGGAATATTTTACTTAAAGTGTTTTCATTTAAGCTTAAACACTAGTTCTTCGTCATTTTTTAGGATGAAAATGCAGAGCAGAAACGGTGTTTGAAAGCTCTTAGGAATGGCGCATATTAGGTTAAGCAAACCTTGACTATTATGAAGCTTTTATTCTTCTGCCCTGAAATACTTCAATGACAAGGATTTTTCTGTCCTCCCATAAGCCCCTGGGTTCAGCTTATCACAGGTTTTTAGTTATTTGATGATGGTGGAAATACTATCCAAAGGGTCGAGAATGGCATCCTTTTAGTGCTTGTGTTCTGAAAGCATCCAAAGAGTTTATCTGCTTATATCTTGTATACACAATTTTTGAAGGACGCAATGTACATTGACATCTGAATATTGCTATACATACTTAAGAATTAGTATATATATTGAATATACATTTACTAATTTAGTATATCAGTAGATATACAAGGTGGGGCAAAATAGGTCTACAATTATATTGAAAATAATACAACAGCCCTGGCCGGTGTGGCTCAGCGGTTAGAACGTTGGCCTGCAGACCAAAGGGTCTCAGGTTTGATTCCCGGTCAGGGGCACATGCCTGGGTTGCAGGTTTGATCCCCAGTTGGGGTCACACGGGAAGCAACTAACTGATGTGTCTCTCTCACATCGATGTTGCTCTTTCTCTCCCTCCCTCCCACTCTCTCTAAAAATCAATGAAGAAATATCCTCGGGTGGGGATTAACCAAAGAAAATAATACAGCAATAAATAAATAGTAATACAATAAATAATAATACAAGAACAAAGTGTGTTTTGTGTACTCACAACTATAAACCTACTTTTGCCCCACCCTGTATGGAAGCTTTGGCCTCCTGCAAACTAAAAATGAACATAAATGTGAATATAGGGTCATGCTCATGCTCAGTCTCCAATCCCATGAGCTAGCTATAGCGTGGACCGGAAAATTCATGGTTCATCTCCATCCCTACTCTCTTTCCAGTGGTAATAAGAATCAATGGAGGGGCCATGTTTCGTCCTCCAGTATCCATAAAATTTGCACAAACTAGGTCAGAATAATGGTGCCTTTCTGGGTGATTTAAAAAGCCGACTCTATGCGTTTGTAGTCTGTTCATTTTGAAGCTGTAGTTAATTGATTCTCGCCCACTTTTAATCTGGTCGCTGTCAGCTCATAACTGCCCCATTGACTGACACAATGCACTTCACAGTGTTTCTAAGCATCACGCGAGAAAGGCCCAGAACTCTTCCTGTAGGACTTCATGTCATTAAGTGGTATTAGGAACTGTGTTCACGTGGGATCCACCTCTTTTTCTCAGTGCTTACAGAATTCCCTGAAGGACATGAAGGACATCGGCCTCTTACAAGTGAAGGTTTTAAAAGCAGTAGACCTCCTGGCTGCAGATTTCTCAGGTACGCAACATGTTCCTTCATTTGTATCATGTATCTCTCTTGTTGAAGTCATCGTGTGGCAAAGCCAAATGTTTTCATAAGTAGAAGCATGGACCTAACAATCGTGTTCTTCCAAACAGAGCAGCGATGTTCACCCTTTTCAGCTCATGGCGCACACAAAACAATCACCAGAATTCCGCAGCACACCAAAAAATGTATTTTTTGCTAATCTGATAAAAAAATTGATATAATTTTGATCAATTTGCAAAAAAATAAATAAAAAATTACCTACATTTTTGCTCCAAAGTGATGTTTTAAAAAATCGGGTGCTTATAGTTGTATACGAGGATTTCTGGTACCAAGAATTCACCAATTACATGCAACCTTATGCGACGTGACCAGTGAGATGCAACACTATATATGACCTACGTATTTATGGTACAAGCTAGGGCATTCACACCAGACGGCTATTGTTATGTTGGCTGTTGTTATTATTATTATTTTTTTCTATTTTTTGTACAGATAGAGTGGGAGGGAGAGAGAGAGAGAAACATCGATGTGAAAGGGACACATCGAGTGGCTGCCACCCGCACGACCAACCAGGGCTGGGGACAAACTGCAACCGAGGTACATGCCCTTAGCGGGAACCAAACCAGGGTCTCTCCAGACTGCAGGCCAACGCTCTAACCGCTGAGCCAAACTGGCCAGGGCATGGCTGTTGTTATTTTTTAAATTTGACAGTGTAAGGAAAAAGAGGTCAGTGCCCCTGACTAAATAGTCAGGTATTGCATTAAAAAAAAAAATTCTTGCCCTGGCTGGTTTGGCTCAGTGGTTGGAGCGTTGGCCTGTAGTCTGGAGAGACCAGGGTTCGGTTCCCACTGAGGGCGCATGCCTTGGTTGCAGTTTGTCCCTGGCCCTGATTGGGTCGTGTGGGTGGCGACCACTCGATGTGTCCCTTTCGCGTCGATGTTTCTCTCTCTCTCTCTCTCTCTCCCTCCCACTCTATCTGAGCAAAATGTCAAAAAGTGTCCTCGGGTGAGGATAAAAAAAGAATGTCGACTGCAGAGTGGTCCTATGGCCAAGACTTCGGTTCCTGTTACTGCCAGCAAAACCCCTTTCAGACGTAGCCTTCACAGTGGACCCTGTGTCACCCAGAGTTACTCCTGGTACTTCACTAACTTGAACTTGCAGGCATTGGCTGCAGCAGACATGCCTTGTGCTGAATGATGCTTGACTGTGAGGAGAATAACCCAGTGACTGATTGGAGGGTGACGCTCACTCGCTGCCAAATTACCCCCCCACCCCCCGGCACTGACTAACAATTTAGACGCCTACATGACAGATGTTGTTTACCAAGTAAATTGATGAAGACAAAGAATATTATGCAACATGGTTCTATTGACATGGCATTTTTTAATCTCATATTTTTAGAACGTGAGCTTCTGTCCTCGTCCCAACAGAGATAGTTACACTGAATCTGTGTAACCTCTGAACTTCTGAGGCTGAGTTTGAAGAAGCTCAAACTTTGGAAAAGAGAATTTTAATGTTAAGCTCTTTATATTACAAAAATTATGGAAAATGTTAAATTGTTTAAGGAAAAAGTTCTCTGTCTCCCTCAGAAAATGAAACAGTGGAAGTTACTACTCTATAAGCCCCCCAAGTAAGGTGATCTGAGCTTGGGGAAATCCCAGGGAGAAATCAAAAAGGTTATTTTGTGAATATGAATATATAACTTACCAGGTTGTAGATGAAACACACATGATTACTTCTAACATTCGTTACTTTTTTTTTGCAAATGTTTTAGCATCATATTTATTGAAACGTTTTTTCTTTTACAAGTTACAGTTTATGAAAACACTTAATTGCAAACATTGCACACGGCTCCTTAGGAATTACTAGTTTCGCCATCACTAGGGCGCATTTAAAAGTATCTTCCAGTTTTCCAGAGAAAATTATTTTTATTTTCATCTAAGTATGTACCTATAGCACTTTTTAAACCTATGATTGTAGATGTCTCAGGAAATATTATCTCAAGTCTATCTATTTTTCTATTTATCTATCTATCTATCTATCTATCTATCTATCTATCTATCTATCTATCTCAATCTAGTTAATAAATTTAGGGCACTGATCTGTTCCTGTCTCATTAAAAAGGATCTACCCGTTTCTGCTAGCCAAATCAGCCCCCTCCTAAACGTTGCTTAAAGTTTACCTCCACTATGAATTCTTTTCCAACCAACCAAATTAAATGTCCTTGCATTTTGGTTTCCCTTTCTGCACCAACACGCCTCACCTCGAGAGGATTCACTGAGAACCTCCACACAGCGCTGCACAGTAGAAGGAGCAGGGCTCCCTCCAGCCATGTCCATCGCCAGGGGCCAGGCGTGTCCCTGCTGTGCTCCGGCTCTGGCAGGGCGCTCTGCACACCCGGGAGGGAAGGGGGTGCACACGCCGGGTGTGCCTGCATCGGGCCCCTTCAGTGGAATCCAGGGCCAACTGTGGGACAGAAACGCACAGATGCGGACTGTAAGAGACATCAGGGACATGCACAGTCAAAGGTCCCAGGGGGGAGTGGTCAGTCAGCTGGCGGGGAGCAAGAGGGGCGTTTTCATGGAAAAGGTGACATTTGCTAAAAAGCAGAGACTGTTCTGAGAGTTTCATAAAGGTAATGACCTGGTGGTCCGTGTGCATCGGGACCTGGTTCACTGCCAGACTCGAGGGCGTGCTTAATAAATATTTGTCAGATGAATGATATGACCTCTAAACCACGTTTATGACTTGTCATTCAACTTCTATAACTCGTGTAAAGGTAAAATTATTTAAATGAGAAACCTCGACTTGCCGCTCAAGGAATGTAAATGAACGTTAACGCGGTGCCGGAGATAGAAAGGCGATTGAGCGCAAGGTGCTAAGACACCGTGAAACTGCACACCGGTGACGCGACTGTCAGGGTGACGGCCCCTGCATGCGGGGGAGGTCACCGAGATGTTTCACCTGGAGTGAAGGCGAAAACACAGACCCAAGTGTGCATACGCCCATTTGCCTGGTGGTGTTTGCTCGGTACCATTGGGGGACATTTGGGCATTTCACTTATTATGGGAAATCATTTCTATCAAAGTAAAAATATTTATTTTTATTGAAAGGCCCCGTACATTTGGAATCTTTTCTGGGGGAAAAAAAACCAATCCATAAAGTGTTTATAAATGACTCTGTACATGCCCCAACGCCCTTCTTTCTTCTTCCTCCTCTCTGCCTGTTTATTCGGTGATATTAATAAATGCAGCATTTTAATGAGCTTTGACGGGGTTCCCTTCAGAGAGTTGGTGCAGTGTGTTCCCCGTTTCTGGAAGGAAATCTGTTTCTCATTAGCTGGGACAGCTGAGCACGCTCCAGAGACAGGGCCACAGTCCCGCCGCTGCGCGGGACGGGCCGCCGGCTCTGTCCTGCACTGTCACCCCGGGCTCTCACGGAAAGTGACAGCCAGGCTCCCCAGGGCAAGAGCTGATGGAATGTCACCTTGGTGTCTCTGGAGCCGCAGCGCTGACACCTGCTAACAGCGTGCCACACGGTGAGGTAGCTGTTCAAGCTTGGGCTGGGGCGTGCAGCCTCGTCTACCTGAGCAGGCAGCCCGGAGCACGTGCCTCCGTCAATGTCACAGTCGTCAAAGGGACAGCATGTTCTTCAACCCTGGCAGGCTCCTCCCCTGCGGCCCCTGCCCTGTGCCTGCACATCATTCCCAGACTAAAGCAGTCTTTATGTAACCAAGAACTTTACAGTTGCAGATGAATTGTTACGTGTGTTTTTTTTTTTTTAGCTCATTGATGTAAGAGAGAAGGACAGAGACATTGATTTGTTGTTCCATTTATTGATGCCGTCATTGGTCGATTCTTAAATGTGCCCCGACCAGGGATCGAACCCACAACCTTGGCGTACCGGGACGACTCTCTAACCTACTGTGCCACCCGCCCAGGGCTCATTTTTGTGTTGTTTGGATTTGGACTAACATCTGAAACCCCTCCTGGGTTTGGGGCGACTCCCTTTGTATGTTGTGGAGGAGAGGTCAGAGTTCACTTTCATTCACGGAAGCTAAACAGCAAACCCTCCCTTTCTGAGTCCTGGCGGTTCGGGCACAGGTACTTTACTTTTCTAGGCAGAAGGCGTCCGATGCAGCCTCCGTGGTCTTCACAGCTACACCAAATGAGGCAGAAGCAGAAGCGGAGACTTTGTATCGGAGGCGGCCCCACTCAGAGAGCCTGGGGGTCTGCTTCCCGGGGAGCTCACCAGACATTTCCTGGTGTGAGATCCAAACTGAGAGTCTTGCGCCTACGTCTTCCTAAGTATTCCTTGCTTTCTAGTGATTTCTCAAGTCAGATATTGCAGTGTTTGCAATGATTCTGAGAGCGGTTTAACGTTATTTTAATCACTTCATTTTCTGCAGATTTTAGAGAGGGACCATTTTCATTGCTAGTAACTGACAACGCGAACTCATTCATTTATCTCCTATGTCTTGATTACTGCCTACTGGCCACTGAGAAAGTAGCATGGACTTCAAAGCTGTGGCCCGGCCGGTGTGGCTCAGTGGTTGAGCGTCGACCCAGGCACCAGGAGGTCGCCAGTTCGATTCCCGGTCAGGGCACATGCCGCCTGATCCCCAGTGGGGGGCATGCAGGAGGCGGCCCATCGACGTTCTCTCTCATCAATGTTTCTCTCTCTCTCCTTCTTCTTTCCTTTCTCTCTAAAATCAATAAAGATTAAAAAATAAAAATAAAAAAGCTGTAGCTGGGCATGTAAAGTGCCCAGGACTCTGGTCAGTGGTGTGGGATCTTCTGTTTAATACTGACCCTTACCCATGCATCTGGTCTTCTTCTCTATTTTTTAAAATTTTTTAAATATAATCTTCACGTAGGCTCCTGAACATTGCCAGTATCTATTGATGTGTGTTACCTCCTGGTTATTAAGGGAATTCGTGTGAGTTTCGTGACCCTCATGGTAGGCCAGCAGGTCAGGGGCCTGAGCATGCATTTGGCCCTGGCCTGGGTTTCCTTGGCCATGTGTCGGGGGAGCCTCTGTCCTGATGCCCCAGTTACTTCAGTGCACGCTGCTTTGCGAAGTGTCAGTGAGCCGCAACGGCTGGTACTGTGTCCCTGCCGAATGGACATCACAGGGCCCCAGACCCAGCCAAAGGGGAGAGAGTCTTGACGTAGTAGCTGTCTGGGTCCAGCTTTGGGTTTTGGATTTTCTAATCCTTTTTTTTTTTTTTCTCTTTTGGAAGCTGAGTGAGGTAGGGTTGAAAAGGAAGAGTTGAGGTGGGAGACATAAGGGCGAAGTTGTACTGTTCTTCAGGTAGAAACGTTGGCGTGTTGAGTCCTCACTGAGCAGCTGTGTGGGGTCCCAGGACAGGCCCATCGCTGGTGGCGGTGCCCACACGTCCCCGCGGGCCCTGTCTTCAAAGTCAGACTTGAGTTCTGCAGCTCACCAGACTCCTGCTCACATGACTCTGAGGCACGGAACACGGATTTTGGGTTGATTGCTTGTTATCTTTGGTTTCTGTAACAGCCTCACCATTTATCATTTTTTTTCCTATTAATATAGATATAAAAAAAAAACACAAAAAGATATTGACTTTTTGGAATTATACCTTTGCATGTCTGTGAGCACCAACAAAGTAGCCTGTGTTCTCTCGATGTACTAAATATACAGGATCGTACATGTGTGTGGTCGCTCACTCCAAAGCGGTGCTAACTCCTAAATAGCCATGTTTACACTTTTTTTTTTTTTTTTACTTCCCTCACACAATGTGGAAGCCACTAGGTTATAGTCTTCCAGGCATAGAAGAATAATGATCCATATTAACTCAAAGAGATTCTGGGAAGCAAAGAGAGATGAGCTTCTGTTTTAAAATAAACCATGAACGTGGACTTTGTCACGTGAAGAATGCGCACCTGCTCTCCTGGGCTCTCAAGTCTGCATCTGGGTTGTGTGTCAGTCTCAATCAGTTAACGATGCTGCAGTTTCGGCACCTGCCGGACCCGTTCATCCCTCGAATTCCCACTCAGGGCTGCCACACGGCTGGCTGGAGAGAGGGGCTCGCCTTCCCCTTTCCGCCGGCCCCGTTTCGCTGTTGGCGAAGCACATGGCTCTTGTTGGCTTGGCCTCTGTCACCTGTGAGATCCATCTGTCCCTGACCAACGTCTGTGCTCTCTTTGCAGGGAAGAGCGACCCTTTCTGCTTGTTGGAGTTAGGCAACGACCAGCTTCAGACACACACCATTTACAAAACCCTCAATCCCGAGTGGAACAAAGTGTTTACGTTGTAAGTGTCTCCGGGGCGTCTTTAACTTCGAGACCGATGATCCCCGATCGGTTCGGGGCAGCCTGGGGCTCTTGAGTGGAACTTTCCGTCCATTTTTATGTGCCAAGAATGCATTATATTTTACTTTTTTTCCTCCTGAAAACCCTTTATCCTTTCGTTTTATAGACTTTATTGTTAATAATAGAAGAGGCCATTTGGAACGGCACAGGAGTTTGGGACGAGGCATGTAAAGTAGAGGTTCTAGTGACTAAATTAATCTGTGGGTAGCGGTGAGCTTCCGTATACCCAGACGAATTCATTCCTGGGTTAAAGAGAATTAGAAATGGAGACCTGCCTTAAATTCAGGAGCTTATATGTTACAGTATTATTTTAATACCAGCAGGTTTGTATTCTGCCAGAGCCTTTTGGGAAAATACAGATTATCTGTGATTCCCCGAAGGTTCCCAGAGCCCCTGTCTTCCCGCGAATCTGAATGGCCTCTGACCCATAGCAGGGCTCGGTCCTGTTTCAAACTGAGGCGTGTAGAGGCTGGGCATGCTGCCTAGTTTGCTGTAGATGCTGAGGCACCTGACCATCAAGGGTGACTCCTGTTGAGTTTGGGTGGAAGAGACGGGGGTACTGTACCTTCACAAGACTGGAGAAATGCGCCATCGGTGCGTGTAACGGAGAGAGTGAGGCTTGTTTGCAAGGGTGCTGATGGTTTCCAAGGATCTGCGGGAAGAGGGCGTATCTGCCAAGCAGGTCTGCAGGTTGCCCTTGTTTGCTGAAGACATGCCAATCACATGGGTCATTTACTTATTTATTTTTTATAATCCTCACCTGAGGATATTTTTCCATTTCTCTTCAGATAGAGAGGGGTAGGGGAGAGAGAAACATTGATGTGAGAGAAACACATCAATAGGTTGCCTCCGGCACGGCCCCGACCAGGGCTGGGGACAGAACCGCAACGCAAGCACGTGCCCTTGACCAGAATCGAACCCACGGCTTATTGGTCCACAGGCCGATGCTCCAACCGCTGAGCCAAACCGGCCAGGGAGGGTCTATTTTTTATTACAGCAGATGTCAGGCTTCTGGTCATCATAAAAAATGTTTGCACCAAGAGGTCACCGGTTCGATTCCCGGTCAGGGCACATGCCCAGGTTGTGGGCCTGATCCCCAGTGGGGGGCATGCAGGAGGCGGCCAATTGGTGTTCTCTCTCATCGATGTTTCTATCTCTCTCCCTCTCCCTTCCTCTCTCTCTCATATCAATAAAGAAAAAAATATATTTTTTAAATGTTTCTAAATCTGATGAGATTTTTAGTATGTCATATTTCAATGATAGAAAGTTTTCCACGGACCTCAGCAAATAGTGATGTTGACCATTTACTTTTAAGTGAATTCTTTGTTCATTTAAAGAATTCTAGTCTCACTTGGAAGCTACTTTCAAATCACTGCCCTTTTACCCCCCTCGTTCTGCCTCTCATTCTCTCTTCGTCTGTTTCTTGAAGAGTTCTCCTCTTGAATGCATAGACAGGGGAAATGTCGCAGAGCAAAAAAGTTGACTCTTTTTCCTACGGATGACTGAATCTTCTCTGATGGAAGGTTTGGGAATATAGTCAGTGTGATTTAATTTTTGGAATTTAATTAAATGGTAGTTTTATACTCCGAGGACATACAGACTTAATTAGTGAAACCGTGTTTTCAGATCTTCCCGGAACAGACTTCACGTGTGTGTTTTTGTATATGACCCATGGTGTGCTTCTCGTTGTAGCCCCGTTAAAGATGTCCACGATGTTCTGGAAGTGACAGTGTTCGACGAAGACGGAGACAAACCCCCTGACTTTCTCGGAAAGGTCTCCATTCCCTTGCTCTCTGTAAGTTGCCTTGGTTGATACACAGTTTGGGAGTCATTTTAGAGTTGACGAGTCTCCACGGCATAGACCTGCTTTATCTCTGACAACCTGGGTGAAGGGAACCCCTTCCTGCCCTGGTAGGAAACAGCCGTTTTATTCCTTAGCCCATATTTTCAGTCAAACACGACTGAACCAACCGAATCGTTTTGAGCAGTCTTTTCGTTCACTCTCAATTGTTTTACCTTTGGTTTCAAGGAATACATACCTAGGACTGATCTTTCCATTTGTCAATGAAAAACGTATTTGTACTTCCTCCTTCTCTCCTTACTGCCCATTTCTTCAGAGACTAATTGCCGGTAACTGTGTTGTTTTTCTCAGTTCTACTAAAGATCATTTTCTCCCAAGTTCTCTGTGTCTTTTTAGTAGTCGTGCTTGATTTCAGTCTCAAAAAATGCTTTGTGGAAGGAAGCAGAGAGCCTCTCTTGAAAAAAGGGGGCTGTTTCCAAAGTCCAGCTGAAAAACAGCAGGCCCGATAAGCTCAGAGCTGAATCAAAAAATACCCTATAAAATCCAGAGGACAAAGCACCAAGTGATGCCCTTACATGGGCAAAGAAGGAAAGCTGGGATCTGAATTCACCCATTAATTGGACATTCATGTTTGTACCAAATGTCCTCTTCTGGAAGACAGCATTTCAGTGTCTCATCCAACCATTAATACAGTTTGTGGTAGAGTCATGATGGCCCTTATCAGCCAATACAGCTTTATTTATTTCTTCCCAAAGACTTACCGTTCCAAAGCTATTAGTGCATTATCAGGGCTGGAACAGTCTGTAATTGAACCACGAGACGAGACTAGCTCACACGGAGTTCACAGGGGCGGGGGGGGGGGGGGGCCAGGCGGCACCTTTCAATATCTCTTCTGTTTTTGATCGCCTGGTTAATTTCTCCCCAAGTTCTCATAGCCCTGATGTTGCTCGAAGGGAGGGGTCAGCCAGCTGCCCCGCTGCAGGGCTGGCTCCTACCGAGAGCTCTCTGAGCCGGCAGCAGCCCCCTCTCAGCGAGGGGATGCTGATTTGGGACTTCCTCCTTCCTTTATCTTTTTATTTTCTTGATTACAACTTTGTCAGTTAATCCCTAAAAGAATACACGTAACAGAAACATGGAGCACAACTTTAGAGAGGTCTAAAGGGACAAGAAGTGAAGACTGTCCTTTCCAACTGTTTCCTTTTTCTCTCCTATGCCTATTTATGACGTTTCTCCTCTTTGTTTTTATAGACGAATCTTTAGTAGCATATTTTATTCCTTGCTGGGGGAACACTACTTTATATCTTTTTTGTTTTTTCAGCTTCTGTCTGTTTTGCATGTACAAGTTTCATGTGTTTGGCCATTCTGTAACATCTGCAAGTTGACCGACTTTCTTCCCTCCCTCCTTTGTATAATCTCTATGTGCTGTTGACTTCGCTCTAAGAGGTTACCTCCAGCTGGATCAGGTTTAGGGCTTCTCAGCTTAAGCACTATTGTTGTCTTTGGATGGAGGCTTCTTTGTGACGGGGACTGTCCTGTGCATTGTAGGATGCTTCGCAGTATCCCTGGTCTCCACCCATTGGAGGCCAGCAGCCTCCATCCACCCGTCACTTTTATGTCAACCAAAGATGGCCGTAGACATTGCCAGAAGTTCTAGTGGAGCACCACTGACCTAAATTCGTGCCATTTTCAAACTATATCCTTTACATCACAGGGTGGATGGTTTGTGAAAGGCTTGGTTTAAATGCAAGCCGGCCCCTGGCCCTCTCAACTTTCCCCAGGTTGCCAATAAGCTGCCCCGTGATCTATGCGTTCATTTTGCTCGATAAACATTGATCAAGTGTCCAGTGTACGCCAGGCGTTGCTTTTAGATGCTGATGCTCTCACAATGACGACAGTCAAGCGGTCTCTTCTCTGGGAACTTAGAATTTGGTTGCAGGAGGTAACATACAAACCAAAAACAAACAATCAACAAAAAACTCGAAACCAATAGAGAGGGAAAGGTGCTATGGAGCACTAAAGCCGGGAAGGGGAGGCCAGGAATAGGTGTGTGGGGCCGGGGTGCAGTTTCCCGTGGGCTGGCCAGGGATGGCCTCGCTGGAAAGGGGCCATGTCAGTGGGAACGGAAGGAGGTGAGGGCACCTGGAGAAAGCCTTCCAGCTAAGAAACTAAGGTTCAAAGGCTCCAAGTCCAGTTCCAGAAACAGCAGGGCAGACAGTGTAGACGGACCCGAGTGACCAAATGGAGTGTGGTGGGCGTGGAACAAGAAGGGACACAGGGGTAGGGTGGCCTGTGGAAGACGCTTGCAGTTCGAAGGACCTTGGCCGTTTCTTCGTGGTGAGGGAAAACCGCTTGAGGTATTAAGCCACGCGTGATTTGATCGACACTGTTTGTTTCCACTACAAAAAGGCTGTCGGACGTGGAGAAATAAGCCCGGATCGGAAAGATCTGCTGGGCGAAGACAGGACGTCCGGAGCCACGTTTTCTGTTAGGGACTTTGGGGGCCAAAAATGTTGAGCAGAATGAGATGCTCTAGCGGCCGTTGTTCATTGCAACTGATTGATTTCCGGTTCCTCAACCAATACATTGGGAAAGGGACCGGCTCTTTCAGAGGGTCTAAGAGTCTCTTCCTGTAGCATCCTCCCTCCGAGTGAACAACTTCTCTACCTAACGTACAGATAGGAAAGCGATTTTAGAAACTGCCCAAACACCAAGTATCGATAACAGGGCCAATTTAAGTTAATTTAAATTTCATTGATCATTTGAAACTCCAATAACTCTAGCTTGTGATTTAGACGGTGTTCTACAGTTTGTTGATTCAGGTCTAGGGTTTTAAAAATTTAATATCGACTGAGTGATGCTTAAGTAGCAGACGCTGTGCTGTGCACTGGTCAGTCTAAGGAGGCACATGAGGGAACTGAGGAACAACAAGGATCCTGTCGGTGGTAGGTAATAGGCGGGGTTTGAATTAGGCAGTGCCCTATCAGAGAGGTTGTTATAATGCCACGTTGGGAAAATATTGGCTGAACCTTCAAAAATAAGCGTTAAAAAGGAAACCCGTAGATTCTGGGTTCTGTGCCTCTTAGGAGAAGGATTTTTTTCTCCGCTTGTTTAAATGAGAGAAAAATCATAAAAATCGATCCATCAGTGCTTCTCTATTTCATCTGTAGGATATGGAACAGTATCTAATTATATCTTCTTTTATATTTAGAAACAAAAACGGATTTCCTGGAGGAGACTGTGAATACTTTTTGTGAGAATACATTGTCTTTAATCAAGTCATAGACTAAAACTTGACTTAGACTTTTAGAGAAAATGCAAACTACATTTTGAAATGTCTAAGCATAAAATAGCGAATGTTCTTTAACTTTTAATCTCTCTCAAAATGGTGACGTGTTAAGTGCCTTTCAGCCTGTTCAATAAGAAGCCTGTTTTGAACTCGCTGTATCTTTTAATCAGGGCGATGTTCCGACTGACTCATTTAAAGTTCATCTTCTAAAATCAGTACATCTATTAATGGTGGTGAGTTGTCCAAAGCATAGATGTCTGCTTAGACATACATCAGAAAGGAAAGAATCCAGGTCAACGAATTATCCTTTTATATAGTTCATTTCTGTTCAACTTTAAAAAAATATCTAAAAATAATTAAATAGATATCCAAAACGTTTTACACATGATTAAAAGCAGCAAAATAAATAAATAAATAAATAAATAAATAAATAAATAAATAAGATTATTATGAATTATTATCCAAAGGATTCTAATATTTTCCCATTTCTCCTTTATTCCTTAAATATTCTAATCAATAATATAGTAAATATGCATTGGAAAACAGTATACGCATTGTAGAATTTCAAAACATGCTCGGCATAGACACCATCTCCTCATAATTACCTGGTTCAAGAGATTTATTTAACATTTCCATCCTCAACTCAGTGATCCTAACTGTGTCCCGAAAATCCGGCTGGATTCTCCTCATCTATCTAGGTCAATCTTTTTTATTTAAACATATGTTTACCCTCTCAGAATTATCGAGTGGGCCAACGTAGGAAGTCTTTGAAAATCAGATTTCTGGCAAATAAGAAGGGCATCAATGTATGATTATTTCCTAATAGCTGCCGTGCAGTGAGGTCCTACATCTCGAAAGGAGTTTGCGTTCGTTTCAACCCAGGCCGACGTGCGAATCTGTAATCATATAGCCCACACCTCTCTCTGTGCACCCATGTGATCCATCTCTAGCTGCACCAATAACAGCTCCACTTCATTAGTTTTATGGGACAAATTTTCTGTAATTGCGTGTACCTGGTAAATGTCCATGCAAGTCTTCATTTGCATTTCCAATCAAGTGTTTGTCGAAATTTCACCTATGATGAAATTTGCACATTATAATGGACACATTTACACAATCATTTTATTTTATTCTATTTTATTTTATTTTATTGGTTAATGCTGGAATCTTGAGCATTAAAAGAAATAATATCGATATTTTACTATGTGTTAGTATTTATGAATGTATAACTAAATTTTAAAAAATTATAAGTATTCCCAGTGCAGGGCTCAAATGGTGATTTTTGAATACAAATGTTCAGCTCTCCTCCCTGCCTAATCCTGGTCCTGTATGTCCATTGAAATAAATAAAGGAAGATAAAATAAGGCAAATTTCTCTGTTGGCCCTGGAAACGACAATGGGGTCCCTTTGACATGCTGGAATTATTATGAAGCATCTGTGGTGTGTAGAGCAGATGATACATGGTCAAACAGACAGGCTAAGGAGGAAAACAAATGACCAGTAGGGTTCCTTTAATGTCTATAACAAGAAGATGGCATGTGTGCATCTGAACATATCACAAATGATGGCAAATGTTGAATGAGTTAAACTTTTCCATTAAGTGGAAAAACCTCTTACAGCGATTCAAAGAGTAAAATTTAACCGCTGCTGCTTTGAGATACCTCAGACATGGGAGTAGAGAAATGGCTGAGCAAATGCAATCACATAC